CTGGGAGTGCCTTTTTTTCCTCCTGAGTACTGTAGTCCTGTTTGGCATTTTCTTCCAGAACAGGCCTTATCACAACTGTGTATGCCACTACGATTCTTAAATCTCTCAAACAACCTTTGCTGCTTTAAATTCACCAATATGAGCACTAGTTCCAGGCATTTTTCCCTGTTCACCTGGGTGTTAGTCGACTTGTGTGGGTTGCATCCTGGGAGACAAGATTAAGGACCCCAATGGAAATAAGTTAGACAGTCTTCGATGACACTGACTTTTTTGGGTTATCCTGGGTGGCAAATCCTCTGGGTTAATTGTTTCTTGGTATTCTCAATAAGCCACACCAACAACGGTGCTACAGCAGCAGCAGCAGCTGACAGTGCAGCAGCAGCAGCAGCTGACAGTACAGCAGCAGCAGCAGCTGTACCACCAATAGTAGCGATGGTTGATTGGGGTTTATTATACAACCTGGCCAGCTCGGAGACATGCACTCCACTTTCATACTTATCAATGATCTTTTTCTTCATCTCTATTGTAATTCTCACCCTTATTGCTGTAGGGTTGGCACTAGAAGCTTTCTTGGGGCCCATGGTCACTTATTTTCCAGAAAAAGCACCGAAAACACTGTAATAATACGAAATATTCCGATTGTATGCTTGGATGTTACCGCGGAGGCTGGCTGGTAAACAATGCCATCGGCGGAACATGTGAGCGTGGCTCAGGCCGCACATTGGACGCGTCTCGGACGAAAATCGGTAAGCGGGTTTTTAAGCGGTATGGGAGGCAAAATTTTTGCGATTAAAGTAAGCGGTATGCGAAATAATCGCTATGTGATGCCATCGTTATGCGGGGGTCCACTGTATATGCTTCTAAACTGTTGTATTCTGAGCACCTCTGCAAAAACAGTGATTATGTGTGTGAGTGAGGTGAAAGTGTTGAATGATGATGAAAGTATTTTCTTTTTGGGGATTTTCTTTCTTTTTGGGTCACCCTGCCTCGGTGGGAGATGGCCGACTTGTTAAAAAAAAAAAAAAATGATTTGTCAGAGCATTATTCCTTTTAAAAATTACATGAGAATGGAAGTGTTGGTCTTTAGTTATTCTACTATACCACTGTGGAGACAACTTGTACACAATGTAAGGTGTTTGTATGAATGTTTATGAACCATAACCAGATGCATCATCTGTTTGTTTACATAGTTGGTGGGGTGGCCAGGCAGGCTTCCCTACACTACCCTATCTACCACACGACTTTTTACAAATAAATACTTTTCACCTTTCACCCTACATTAAGACTACAAATATTTTAAGGTAAGTAATGAGTGTACTGTATATGCATTTTATCACTCTATGGAGCTTTAAGCATCGTCGTAGTATATTATATGTGGGTGGGGGTGGCCAGGAGGGCTACCACACCTAACTTCTTACAGTAAATACTACTCACCTTTTGCCCTACATTAAGACTATGAATATTTTGAGGTAAATAATGAATGTACTGTGTGTGTATTTTACTTTTTATTGTTTTTTTAATGCCTAGCCCTATTGCTAACTTAATATATGTTAGTGTAAACTTGTTATCTGGCATTTATATGCATTTGTAAGTGGAAAGAATGTGTTCTGCTTTCCGGCGATGTCTGCTAACCTGCAGTAAAAGTGGGGCCCTACTGTAATGTGTTTCCTTAATGTATCTTCTATTATTTCTAAAATTGAAATTTCTTTGTAAAAATTAAATACCTTATTTTCAGTGGATTCAGCAGATGAAGAGCTATTAAGTGTTATGGTTGGATTAGCAGATGGCTCACAGATAGTTTCTCCAGATGATAATGATGCAGTTCTTTCCACACAGAAATCCATATGTGAGTTTTAAGCTTTACCTCTTTTTCAATGTCATTTGATTTAAAGACCAATAAAATGTTAGTTTATATGAGGTGATTTTTAATTATGTTTAGTTGTACTTTACAATATTGTACAGTATCAACATTATAAATAGTATATTTTTTTTGTAAGGTAAACCCTCTCAGAATATATGGGTTTTGTTCCTGGAAATCTGCTTGTACTGTAAAAATTTTATATGATGTGAAGAACTTTTTTCGTTTAACTCATTAACTATCTCCCACTAAGGTAAGGCAACCCAGAAAAAAAGGAAATGTGTTTACCATCTCTTATTCAGTATCAGTCTTACTGAAAGTGTGTGGATACCACAATTCAACTGACTCTCTTGACTGCAATATCTCCACTCATCTTTCAGAATACATGTGCTGTACTCTGCACCTCCAGGACTCAAGTCCAACTCACTGATATCCCCTGACTCTCTTCATAAGTGTTACCTTGCTCACACTTCAACCACATGTCAAGCCATAAAACCACTCTTGCTTGCTGGATGCTCTAACCCCTAGTACTCAAAACCTCCTTTGTCCCTTGCCCACACTCTTTCCTGGGATGACACATATTCCTCCTTTTCCCCCCCCTCAAGGGAGGTTCCTTGATGCTGGTGAAGGGCTCTTGATCTAGGGAATTGCATCTGTACTCCAGTTCCCTGAATTGAGCCTGAATGCCTTTCATCCCCCCCCTTCCCAGGCGCTGTATAATCTCGATGGGTTTAGTGCTCCCCCATAATAATAATAATAATAATAATAATTAATAATAATAATAATAATAATATTTGAATGATGATGAAAGTATTTTCTTTTTGGGGATTTTCTTTCTTTTTTGGGTCACCCTGCCTCGGTGGGAGACGGCCGACTTGTTGAAAAAAAAAAAAAATAATATTCCTCCTTCCTTTCACCCCAGATTTATGGGGAGAAAAAAAACAATTATGTCCCTGAAACCTCCAGATTCCAGGTTTACCAAACTTTTTTCTAGTGTTCCATTCTTTGTAATATTTGCTACAGTACAACTTGGCTTGCATACTGGTAGTGCTTTCCTGTTGACAAGGAAGAGTGAGAAGAGGATTGATGTGGGCCTACTGGGCTGAGCTGGATGATTGATTCTCTGCAAAAGCACAGGCAGACTCCATCACACGTGCACTTCCTTGAAGCTTTCTAAGACTTTCTACAGTACCACCATTGATTCACACTTATTCTTTTCTGGCACCTCCAGTATCACTAGTATTTCTCCTGGGTGCTATAGTTAATATCCAGTGATGAGGTGGGTTGAGAAAATATTGAAAATCCTTTGATTAATACAAATTGCATGAGGTAGGCAACACTCCTAGAAAAAGCAGTTGTCTGTGGTGTGAGTAACAAAAGAAAGGAGCTGTGGCTTCATGAGTACACTACCCTTATGCCCATCTGCCTAACTTGTCTCAGAAGGGAAGATTTCACAAAAACTAGAACCAGGATTTTGTGCTTAATTTGATACTATGGAAGCCTATGGTGGTAGTACCAAAATTTTGCAAATTAGCTGAATCTTCCAGAGATTTTGTGCTATTAAAATTCATGGTTACCCAATTTTGAACTAATTTGCATCCAAATCACACTGTTACAAAAGGGCTTACTGTATTTAATTCATGAATTGTGACTATTCATTGGTTGAATGATTTTGTATTTCTCTATATCATTGATGCTAATTTTCACATTGTTTTAGCATATGTAAATAATGGATAAAAAGAAAAGCAGTATAATGTGATACTACAGGGTCGCATTGTATTGCATTTGTTATTGTCCATTTTGTTGATATTTTACACCATTTCTCTCCATGTGTAAATCATTATTTTGAAAATTTATCACAGGTTCTTCTGGGAAAGGGCTGAGTCAGAATCCAGCTTGGGAAGGCAATCTTGGCAGAGAAGATGAAAGTGAAGAAGAAGAAACTAGGGAAATGACTCAGCGCATATGGGATTCAATATTACCATCTGAAGAAGAGGCAGAGAATAGAGTGGAGGGCCAGGATAAACTGCATAAGCTTCCTTCCATGGTGTAAGTTAATATGAGTATTAGATATAATTAAAGTTCATGAGAAGAAGTAAATGTTCTTAATAGATCAGTATTTCATACCATACACAAATACCCACACATAGGAGAGAGAAGCTTGCGACCACGTTTCAGTCCGACTTAGACCATTTACAGGTCACATTAGCACAAAAGAGTGCAGGAGCCAGTATATATAAGTGAGGGGATTGGGACAGGACAAAGAGAGTAAGAAAAATAAGTAGTGGTAGTGGTAAGGGCCAATTCCAATGTTTCAGTCTACCGAAATCATAGCTATTTTGCTAGAATTCCATTTGTTCTATTGATTGAGTACAAGAAACTGCCCATTTACCGATTTCAACTACCCAATAACGTGGTGAGAAATTAGCAATTTGACCAATTTCACACAAATTTCAGAAGATGCCAATTTAAAAATAGGATCCAGAATAAAGAAGACAGACATTCCTGGCACTAAAATAACATTTTATCTGTTCATTAGTCACGTCTCCAGGCCCCTCTTAAATTGCTTTTGCTTTCCATTTTGAATTTTTATTCTCACAAAAAATAGAAGATTTACTGTTATGTATCCTATTGCATCATTGTAAAATCGGTATAAATAATATCAGCACACTTGTGCAAGAATATTAGACTCACCAGTTGATGTGTATTGGACGCGTGGCGTGATTTGTTTAGTCTTGAACACCGGCAAAAATCGAACATTTCCGGTAGTTTGCATCAATTTCAAGGTACTTGTCATTGTGACACCAATCAAAATTACCTCTGTTTCTGTAATATATCTTCCATTCTATCAAATGAGATCAAGAAAACGAGAATACAACCATAAATACATACGAAAATAGACTGCAAAGTCGCTGTTTTAAACCCAAAACACGGTTGGAGTTTTTTTCCCTCATGCACTGTGTGCTGCAGGATTTTTTTTAAACTGCACACACTGACCATGCAGACCCATTCTTTCACATCTAGGCCTACCAGCCTTTTCCCCCTTGATCTGAGGGTGCTAGAATTTACGCGTACTAGTATGTCACTAACTGGTGTGTAAAATGTACTAGTATGTCAAAAACCCTGAAAGGGTTAATTTGTAAGAGCCTAAGTTCATTTGTTCTGCAAGTCAGTTGAAGCACCTGCAGTGTTTGTAGGTAAAGTAAAGTTGGTGTTCCATGATATTACATAGGCTTACATTACATCATCTTCTTTCAACACACCGGCCGTATCCCACTGAGGCGGGGTGGCCCAAAAGGAAAAATGGAAGTTTTTCCTTTTACATTTAGTAATATATACAGGAGAAGGGGTTACTAGCCCCTTGCTCCTGGCATTTTAGTCGCCTCTTACAACACGCATGGCTTACAGAGGAAGAATTCTGTTCCACTTCCCCATGGAGATAAGAGGAAATAAACAAGAACAAGAACTAGAAAGAAAATAGCAGAAAACCCAGAGGGGTGTGTATATATATATGCTTGTACATGTATGTGTAGTGTGACCTAAGTGTAAGGAGAAGTAGCAAGACGTACCTGAAATCTTGCATGTTTATGAGAAAAAAAGGACACCAGCAATCCTACCATCATGTAAAACAATTACAGGCTTTCGTTTTGCACTCGCTTGGCAGGACAGTAGTACCTCCCTGGGCGGCTGCTGTCTACCAACCTACTACTTTACCTGCTTACATTACATATATGTTGTAAAATACTTGGAAAAGCACATAGTTATGCAAATCATTTTATGTAGACCAAGTCTTGACTTTAAAAATTATTTATTGTTCTAGCTTGTTTTTTGTTGAAGAATTATATAATTTTATTTGAATCATAGGGAAAGTTTTACAATACTTTACCAGAAATATTCAGATTTTTGTGTTTTTATTATATGTAGTTGTGATTTTTTTCCTTTCTATTCTTGGTTACTATATGGCATACAGTTATCTTTGGTATATGATAATTTGGCATGGGTATGGTGCATTTCATTCCTATATATTGATCAAAATTTGGGGAGAGTTCCAGGACAAGACAATATTTTTGGGATTAAAGACTTTTACCATCTCCAGATATTAAGATTGCATAGGAACAAAGAGAATTTAGGAAGTGTAAGGGATGTGTAGACCAAGTGTTAACCTTGAGGCATGTAGGTAAACAATACCTAGGTAAGGATAAGAAGTTGCTTTCTGCATTTATGGATGTAGAAAAGGCATGTGATAGGGTGGTTTGGGGAGCAGTGTTGCAGATATAAATGTATGGAGTAGGTGATAGGTTATTAAAAGGAGTAAAAAAAGTCAACTAAAATGCCGGGAACAATGGGCTAGTAACCCCTTTTCCTGTAAAGATTACTAAAAAGAATAAGAAGAAAATTGTCAAAGTGGGAAGTCTGAATGTGCGTGGATGTTGTGCAAATGATAAGAAAGAGATGATTGTGGATGTTATGAATGAGAAGAAACTGGATGTCCTGGCTTTAAGTGAAACAAAGCTGAAGGGAGTGGGAGAGTTTCAATGGAGAGGAATAAATGGGATTAGGTCAGGGGTTTCAAATAGAGTTAGAGCTAAAGAAGGAGTAGCAATAATACAATTCAATAGTTATTTATTTATTTAGTTATTTATTGAGTAGCAATAATGTTGAAGGATAAGCTATGGCAGGAAAAGAGGGACTACAAATGTATAAATTCAAGGATTATGTGGAGTAAAATAAAGGTTGGATGTGAAAAGTGGGTTATAGTAAGCGTGTATGCACCTGGAGAAGAGAGAAGTGTAGAGGAGAGAGAGAGATTCTGGGAAATGTTGAGTGAATGTGTGGGGAGTTTTGAATCAAGTGTGAGAGTAATGGTGGTTGGGGATTTCAATGCTAAAGTGGGTAAAAATGTTATGGAGGTAGTAATAGGTAAATTTTGGGTGCCAGGGGTAAATGTAAATGGGGAGCCTTTAATTGAGCTATGTGTAGAAAGAAATTTGGTAATAAGTAATACATATTTTATGAAAAAGAGGATAAATAAATATACAAGGTATGATGTAGCACGTAATGAAAGTAGTTTGTTAGATTATGTATTTTTGGATAAAAGGTTGATGGGTAGGCTCCAGGATGTACATGTTTATAGAGGGGCAACTGATATATCGGATCATTATTTAGTTGTAGCTACAGTTAGAGTAAGAGGTAGATGGGAAAAGAGGAAGGTGGCAACAACAAGTAAGAGGGAGGTGAAAGTGTATAAACTAAGGGAGGAGGAAGTTCGGGTGAGATATAAGCGACTATTGTCAGAAAGGTGGGGTAGTGCAAAGATGAGTAGTGGGGGGGTTGAAGAGGGTTGGAATAGTTTTAAAAATGCAGTATTAGAATGTGGGGCAGAAGGGTGTGATAAAAGAGAAAAAGGTAGCTTACGAGAGGTTTTTACAAAGCAGAAGTGTTATAAGAAGAGCAGAGTATGTGGAGAGTAAAAGAAAGGTGAAGAGAGTGGTGAGAGAGTGCAAAAGGAGAGCAGATGAAAGAGTGGGAGAGGCACTGTCAAGAAATTTTAATGAAAATAAGAAAAATTTTTGGAGTGAGTTAAGGAGTGCCTCCGGCAAAAAAATGTAGCTTTTTTGTTTACCGTCCGATTTCCTCCAGTTTTGGTGCACAAGACAAAGTGTTTTCACTCATTCTTGAAAATATTTATCAAAAATATACCTCAAACGACAACTGAGAAAAGACTGAAAAAGACTGATTTTCTGAAAAATGTCCTTGTCTCAAAAATCATTCCTATATGGGACATCGTAAGGTTGTTTGGACACTTGGTGCCGAGAGAGCAATGCTTAAACTAATTTTAGGCAACGCCTTTTCTCTAAATAACGTATCTTTATATAAAAAAAAAAAATTTTTTTTTAGTTCCTGGAATACTGCAAAAAATCTGCCCTTTACTCCCACATAACTCCGAAAGTATTTGAATATTTCCAAAATTACCTTTAACAAAATTAGAGAAACCATTATTCTACAATTTCTGTGAATATTATTCCATTTTAATTAAGTAATAAATGCAGAAATAGCAACTGTAGAGGAATAAGTTACTTCCGAGATATAGGCCTAGAACGCCGGCCGGCCCACCGTCTCAAAAAAAAAAGTTTTTTTTCGCGAAAATCGCGTTTGTTTGGGTGTATTTCTTAGTAAACTGATGTTCTAGTGCAGTTATCCTCTTCAAAACACCGTTTTCTCTTACTCAGAGACCAAAGAATACGACACGGAGACGACATGGAGAGCAGTAACTCAATATTTATCGAAATATTCCCGATAATCTTTCGCCATATTATGGTCTATTTTTTTCAGTCTAGAGTATATAACATGTTTGTATGTTATTTAGAGTGTTTATTATATCATATTAGAACAATTCTGATAGATAAATAAGCTGTAGAGTTGATATATAAGCTGATATAAGCGTAATAATGAAGTGATTTCTCCTGGCGCGGCAACCCTTCCGCGCATTATGATATGATTAATGACTGTTGCTCAATCTAGGGATAAGCTCCGCCTTCAGTTTTATGATGCCAAGTACTCAGTTATTATATTAGAAAGTATAATGCAAGAAAAAGCGATAAAAAAACAAGGAAAAATTTCCAAAATATATATGGGCTGTGAGCAGACTCGCTACCAATATCACCGTCACCTTACCTCATATAAATGACGTAATTTCTTGTAGAACGTCGTAGAACATTCATTCTGGTACCATTGTGTTGCAAAGAGTTGAGCTATTTTTCAGTTATATAACTCACTATCCATATTTTTCCGATATTTCGGTGAGCGCGCGCGGAAATTTGCCGGAGGCACTCCTTAAACAAGTTAAGAAAGCCTAGGGAAAGTATGGATTTGTCAGTTAAAAACAGAGTAGGGGAGTTAGTAGATGGGGAGAGGGAGGTATTAGGTAGATGGCGAGAATATTTTGAGGAACTTTTAAATGTTGAGGAAGAAAGGGAGGCGGTAATTTCATGCACTGGCCAGGGAGGTATACCATCTTTTAGGAGTGAAGAAGAGCAGAATGTAAGTGTGGTGGAGGTACGTGAGGCATTACGTAGAATGAAAGGGGGTAAAGCAGCTGGAACTGATGGGATCATGACAGAAATGTTAAAAGCAGGGGGGAATATATAGTGTTGGAGTGGTTGGTACTTTTGTTTAATAAATGTATGAAAGAGGGGAAGGTACCTAGGGATTGGCGGAGAGCATGTATAGTCCCTTTATATAAAGGGAAAAGGGGACAAAAGAGATTGTAAAAATTATAGAGGAATAAGTTTACTGAGTATACCAGGAAAAGTATACGGTAGGGTTATAATTGAAAAATATTAAGGTAAGACAGAATGTAGAATTGCGGATGAGCAAGGAGGCTTCAGAGTGGGTAGGGGATGTGTAGATCAAGTGTTTACATTGAAGCATATATGTGAACAGTATTTAGATAAAGGTAGGGAAGTTTTTATTGCATTTATGGATTTAGAAAAGGCATATGATAGAGTGGATAGAGGAGCAATGTGGCAGATGTTGCAAGTATATGGAATAGGTGGTAAGTTACTAAATGCTGTAAAGAGCTTTTATGAGGATAGTGAGGCTCAGGTTAGGGTGTGTAGAAGAGAGGGAGAATACTTCCTGGTAAAAGTAGGTCTTAGACAGGGATGTGTAATGTCACCATGGTTGTTTAATATATTTATAGATGGGGTTGTAAACGAAGTAAATGCTAGGGTATTCGGGAGAGGGGTGGGATTAAATTATGGGGAATCAAATTCAAAATGGGAATTGACACAGTTACTTTTTGCTGATGATACTGTGCTTATGGGAGATTCTAAAGAAAAATTGCAAAGGTTAGTGGATGAGTTTGAGAATATGTGTAAAGGTAGAAAGTTGAAAGTGAACATAGAAAAGAGTAAGGTGATGAGGGTATCAAATGATTTAGATAAAGAAAAATTGGATATCAAATTGGGGAGGAGGAGTATGGAAGAAGTGAATTGTTTTCAGATATGTACTTGGGAGTTGACGTGTCGGCGGATGGATTTATGAAGGATGAGGTTAATAATAGAATTGATGAGGGAAAAAAGGTGAGTGGTGCATTGAGTTATATGTGGAGTCAAAAATCATTATCTATGGAGGCAAAGAAGGGAATGTATGAAAGTATAGTAGTACCAACACTCTTATATGGATGTGAAGCTTGGGTGGTAAATGCAGCAGCGAGGAGACGGTTGGAGGCAGTGGAGATGTCCTGTCTAAGGGCAATGTGTGGTGTAAATATTATGCAGAAAATTCGGAGTGTGGAAATTAGGAGAAGGTGTGGAGTTAATAAAAGCATTAGTCAGAGGGCAGAAGAGGGGTTGTTGAGGTGGTTTGGTCATTTAGAGAGAATGGATCAAAGTAGAATGACATGGAAAGCATATAAATCTATAGGGGAAGAAAAGAGGGTAGGGGTCGTCCTCGAAAGGGTTGGAAAGAGGGGGTAAAGGAGGTTTTGTGGGCGAGGGGTTTGGACTTCCAGCAAGCATGCATGAGCGTGTTAGATAGGAGTGAATGGAGACGAATGATACTTGAGACCTGACGATCTGTTGGAGTGTGAGCAGGGTAATATTTAGTGAAGGGATTCAGGGAAACCGGTTATTTTCATATAGTCGGACTTGAGTCCTGGAAATGGGAAGTACAATGCCTGCACTTTAAAGGAGGGGTTTGGGATATTGGCAGTTTGGAGGGATATGTTGTATATCTTTATACGTATATGCTTCTTAACTGTTGTATTCTGAGCACCTCTGCAAAAGCAGTGATAATGTGTGAGTGTGGTGAAAGTGTTGAATGATGATGAAAGTATTTTCTTTTTGGGGATTTTCTTTCTTTTTTGGGTCACCCTGCCTCGGTGGGAGACAACCGACTTGTTGAAAAAAAAAAAAAAAATATGAGGAGAGTGAGGCTCAGGCTAGGATATGCAGCACAGTGGGAGAGTACTATTTCTCAGCAAAAATAAGATAAAAACAAAGATGCATGGTATCACCATGGTTGTATAGCATGTTTATAGATGGGTTGTAAAAGCAATGAATGCTAAAGTGTTGTGGAGAGGTGTGGAATTAAAAGATTAATCTGATACAATCTGTTTTTTCATAAGGTTGAATCACAGTATATGAGGTGCTATCAAAAAGTTCCTAGACTGCTATGGAAAAAATATATAGGCTTATGTAATCACCTCATTGAAGTTGTCTTCCTTGAAGTATTCTTCTTGAGAGGTTATTATTCCAGTTTATACACTGATCCCAGCACTTCTGACACTTCTTTAAAAGTTTCTGGAACTCTTCTTTCCTAAAGGAACCTGGTGTGACCTGCTTTTCTGCTTGAATCTCCTTCACATTGTTAAAGTGCTGCCCCTTGGGTGCCAGTTTTATTTTAGGGACAGAAAAAAGCCACAGGGACTAGATCTGGGGATTAGGGAAGGTGGGGAGATGGCTACCTAGTTGTTTTTGTTCAGAAAACAATGGCCTTTCTGGGCTTGAGTCAACAGATGGGGCACAAATTTTGTATCCACTCATTTCATGTTCAAATTTTCGGTCACAATGCTTATCATGACCCATAAACTCCCACAGCACTTGCATTGTTCTGGATACTCTAATGATGATTTTCGTGAATAGCCTTCCTCACTTTTTCAGTGTTGGCATCTGTTTTTGATGTTGATGGACTACCAAAGCATTCATCCTCAGCCGACATTTGTCATGCTTTGAACTGAGAAAGCCATTCAAAATACTGTGTCCAACACATTGCTTTACCGTCAAATACTTGTTGTTTCTTGAGCTAGAAAGAGAATTTTGCACACAAACTGTTCTTTCTTTTAAAAATTTCATTCCTTTACACAAAAACACAACAACATACTGACTTGACAAAAAATGACCCTCTAACCTCAATGAAATGATCGACCGCACTGAAACTCTTCACACTACTTTGCAAAAGAGTGTATTAACATAACATGATTTAAGCCGCTACCATATTTTACCCTGGAAGCACGTGAAAGTTTGAGTTTGGGAACTTTTTGGTAGCTCCTTGTATATTATTAGTCATGCACCCGCATTCACTTTGTTTATGTTCTCATTTATAGCAGTTATGTTCTATGTTATAGCTATTATTGTACAACATTTATATTATTTACTGAATAGAACTCATTGTAGTAATTATTTATTATACTATCCAACATAAATAGATCCTATGCCCTCCTAGGTGAAGGGGGTAGGATAATTTTAGCAAAATTTCCATCTTTAATTTCTTTTGAATAGGCGGTATAAAGAATAAATTTATAAATTGTGAGAGATTATAATTTAATGAAGTAATAGAGATTTGTTCATATGTGTTCACTGGGTTTCACATTAGGAATTGCATGTTGCTACTTTTAATGGGCAACTTATGAATCACTGTATATAAATCTGTTGAGGTGGTTGTTGAGGTAGTTTGGGCATGTTTAGAGGATGGAGAGTGATAGGTTGATAGTGTATAAATCTGGAGTGGAAGGTAGGTCACCCCAGGAATTGTTGGAGGGAGGGGGTAAAAGAGGCTTCGAGTTCTTGGGGGCTAAAGCATCCAGCAGTTTGTGCAAGTGTGTTAGGAATGCATGGAGACAAGTGGTTTATTTTGGATGTGCTGTTGGAGTGTAAAGTAACTTTTAATGAAATGATTTAAGGAAATTGGTTAGCTAGAATTGATTCCTGGAGTTGGGAAGGGCATTGCCTCTACTCTGAAGGAGGGGTGGGACTATTGGACTTGGGAAGGGAGTAATCTGAAATGTGTTGTCAGCACTTTTCTGGAAAGACAGCAGTTGACTCAATGATGGTGAATGAATTATCTTGGGTCACCCTGCTGTGGTGAGAAATGGTTGTTGAGATTAAAAAAATTGTGGCATGTAATAGTATACTTAGTATTTACATTTAGTTGTGTAATAATTAGTATGCAAGTACAGTACTCAGTGTATGTATTGTATACCTTATTGATATTTATTTTTCATATTTTTTTGTCCAGATAAATAGAAAAATATAATTCTGTGTAAATACATAGTAATAGCATTCCTTTGTTTCTCAGGAGGGAAGAAGACGGAAGTATGGAAGGTGTAGATCATTCATCGTTTTGCTTACCACAGCTTGATGGTCCTGCTGATTGTGAGCCACAGTCTAGATTAGCAGTAAGGACTAAGAGTTTTGGTACCAGAGAAACCTTTGTGCCTTCAGGTAGTGCCCGGATCTCGAAACAGAATCCTGTGATATTGAAAAAAGCACAAGACTGTAGTAACAAAGACAGAACTGACCATTTTGGTAAAATGACTCGATATAATGAGAAAGCTGCTGTTTCAGGGACAAATTCTCCTGAGAAGTCAGTGTCTCGTAGAATTTATAGTGTTATGAGTAAATGCTCTACTGATAAAAAAATAAGTTATAAGTGTAGTGATAGTGATTCTAGTGATGAAGATTTTGTGATTCCTCAGTTTGATGGTGCAAATGATTTTATTTCACGCAAGAGCAGACGGCAACAATCATCACACAGCAACACGAATGCCCAACGTAGCATGGAACGAAATGCATTTTCTGTGGCATCTCAGCGACACATTAACCATAGTAGTAGGTCCACATCAGATAGTACACGTGATACATTTCATGAAAATATTTTAAAAAGGAACAGAGGTGATGGAAGTATGGGGACTAGAGTTCCATTATCATCTCAACACTCCCATTCACAGCATCAAGGCCCTCACACGAGACATCAAGTTGCCTCACCCTCTGTGCCTTATTCTACTGCTTCCCAGGGTTCAGTGCCTTCCTCACTTAACAGTGTACCTGGTAATTCTTCATCCTCTGTTCCCTCTGACTTTGGTATTAATGAGATGCTTGACCTCCCAGACTTCATGGATTTATCTTCACGTATGTCTTTAGCTGAAGGCCAGAGTTCTAGTATTATTAGTAGTAATGCTTTACAGGGTAATACGTGCTCACAGGCTAAAAATAAGTCTTCCAGGGGGAATAGAAAAGTAAATAACCAGTCACAGCATTTAGCCAAAACCACAATGTCCAGGGAGGCTCATTTACCAGCGCAGTCACCTTCAGTAGCTGCTGTGCCAGGACAAATGAATATTACTCCTCTGTCAAATATTGGGGTATCTCGGAGAGTTCCTGGCATTGGAAATGCCCTGGTTGTGCCAGCACTTGTTACAAACACAAGAGTAAATGTAAGTGGTCTCAACAATTCTCAGATGGTACTTCCACCTAATTATGTTTTGCAGCAACCTGGTAATCTCAGTGTCAGACACTCACCTTTAGGTACTGCAAACCAAAATTCATCTGGCTTACTGTTAGTGTCACAGGCATCAGCCAGTCACATTGCCACCACTTCTTATGAGGGTTTACAAAAACACTCAAATTCTCGGGGGCATAATAAACATGATTCAGGAATGTCTCAGTCTCAAAGTCAACAAAATTTGGGTGTAAATAATACTGGTCAGGAGTCAGCATGTCCTCAAGTACCTAGTCAGAATCACAAAGTCTCTCAAAAAGCCTATGCTACACAATCTAAACAGGAATTGGAACAGAGTATGCCAGAGACTGCAGTTGGCATGTGTGGGGCAATAAAGACAGTATTTCGACAAAATTCTGAACACTCGGTATATTCACCCATATCTGATGAGTCTGATACAGATGTGCTAAATACTACTAGAAAAATTACTGCAAACAGTGATACCATTGAAACAATAGATAGTGAGCCTAAGATTACTGAACCCTCAGGCAGGGAAGATATTCTAAAACAAGCATTTGATATGACACTTTTTGAAGTTATTGATCTTGAAGTTGAACCTATGGATGCTGATGACAGTAATGTGGAGACTGAGTCAAACAATTTGTCTGAGGAAAAAACTGTAAGTATGCAAATTCAGCAGTCTCCCTATCTAACTACATATACACATGACTTTGACAGTGAAAATTTAATAGAAGCTAGCAATAATAATGAAAATAAAAGTGCAGTGGCCAAAAAGGCAGTGATGAAAGAAAGTGTAAAGTACGAGGATGGAAACAAGTTCAGTGGCAATGTAAGCCACCTCGAGCAAAGTTTAGCCACCATGTCTACAAAGGAGGCTCCTGCACCAAGTACAAAATTCAAGAAGGACAAAAAGGAAAGAGAGAAGGTACATAATAAGCAGAAGACTTTGAGGTAAGCTTTTGTTTTCTAATGTTCATACAGTAACATAGGTGTGCTCTCATTCTCTGCAGTAGTTTGCCTTACATTCTTCCTATGTATTGTTTCATGATTAGTGTTCTTATAATGACCTCTGTTGAAAGCTTTCTTGAAATCTAAACAAATAAAATCCATCTATTTTCTTCTTGAATAATTTATGGGGCTTGTAGTAGCTTAATAGAACTGATGTACAAGAATTTGCTGATTGAGGATCAAACTGTTTGCTATTTAATTTTTACAATGTATGAATGTAATGATCAGGCTTTTTGACACCATGAGGTTGGCCAGTCCTGCAAAAGTAGTTTTTTGCAGTGTATCTGAGCTGATGAACTTATTAGTAGTGGACAGCCTTTCCTATAAATGAAAGCTCTGATTTGTGTGGCGGGATAGTTGATGCCCTACTAATTTCAGCAGCTGCTTCATCCATGTTGTGTGGCATTTATGCAGCTTCATTTGGGGCACCAGGCCTGCACAATAGAATTTTGAGTTAGGCCTGGTAGCCCACACATATCATCCTTTTTTTTCATTGTTTTCCTTTTTGGTTATGTATTGGCTAGTTGGCTTTGAGATCAGTCATAAAAAATCTTTGATGAATAGATGAACAGGCAGCTATTATTAGATGAAATAGCATGTAATAGTTCCTACTGGGTCTAGAGAAGTGAATATTGGATGTAGATTTTTTTTTATTAACACATCAGTAGTTTCCTACCAAAGCAGGGTGACCTATAAAAGAAGAAACACTTTCATCATCATTCACTCCATCACTGTCTTGCCAGAGGCATGCCTATATTACAGTTAATAAAAAACAACTGCAACATATCAACACCCCTCCTTCAGAATGCAGACACTGTACTTCCCACCTCCAAGATTCAAGTCTGGCTGACCGATTTCCCTGAATCCCTTCATAAATGTTACTTTGCTCACACTCCAACATCACGTTAAGTCATAAAAACCATTTGTCTCCACTAGCTCCTATCTAACATGCTCATGCATGCTTGCTGGAAGTCCAAGCCCCTTGCATACAAAAACCTTCTTTACCCTCTCTCTCCAACCTTTCCTAGGCCAACCCCTACCCCATCTTCCTTTCACTGCAGATTTATATGCTTTTGATGTCATTCTATTTTGTTCCATCTCTCTAAATGTCTGAACCATCTCAGCAATCCTCCTCAGCCCTCTGGATAATACTTTTAGTAACTCTGCACCTCCTTCTAATTTCCAAACTATGGATTCTTTGCATTATATTCACACTGCACATTGCCCTCAGACACAACATCTCTACTGCCTCCAGCCTTCTCCTTGTTGCAACATTCACCACCCCTCCTTCACACCCATAGATAATGTTCTTTGTCTCCACAGACTCCTCAGTGCACCACTCACCTTTTTCCTCTCAATAATTCTATGATTCACCTCGTCTTTCATAGACCCATCTACTGATAAGTCCACCCCCAAATATCTGAATACATTCACTTCCTCTATACTCCCTCCCTCCCAATTTGATATCCAATCTATCATTACCTAAATTTTTTGTTATTTTTTTTATTTTTCCCATGTTCATTTTTAATTTCCTCCTTTTACATACCCTATCAAACTCGTCCACTGACCTCTGCAGCTTCTCTTCAGAATTTCCAAAAAGCACAGTGTCATCAGCAAAAAGCAGCTTTGACAACTCCCACTTTTTGTTAGATTTGTTATCTTTTAATCTCACACCTCTTGACAACACCTGAGCATTCACTTCTCTTACAACACCATCTATAAATACTTTTTTTTTTTTTCAACAAATCGGTCGTCTCCCACCGAGGCAGGGTGACCCAAAAAAGAAAGAAAATCCCCAAAAAGAAAATACTTTCATCATCATTCAACACTTTCACCACACTCACACATTATCACTGCTTTTGCAGAGGTGCTCAGAATACAACAGTTTAGAAGCATATGCGTATAAAGATACACAACATATCCCTCCAAACATAAATAAATGCATAAATACATAAATACATGTACAGTGGACCCCCGCATAACGATCACCTCCCAATGCGACCAATTATGTAAGTGCGTTTGTACGTGTATGTTTGGGGGTCTGAAATGGACTAATCTACTTCACAATATTCCTTATGGGAACAAATTCGGTCAGTACTGGCACCTGAACATACTTCTGGAATGAAAAAATATCATTAACCGGGGGTCCACTGTATATTGAACAACCATGGTGACATCACGCATCCTTGTCTACGGCCTACTTTTGCATACTCTAACCTGAGCCTCACTATCATAAAAACTCATCACTGCTTTCAGTAACCTACCACCTATTCCATACATTTGCAACATCTGCCACATTACCTTCCTATCCACCCTATCATATGCCTTTTCCAAATCCATAAATGCAACAAAAACCTCTTTCAAAACCTGTGTTTTGCATGATTTCCATGTTTCCAGATATGAATTGGCAAGGCTTGTAAATGTGGCATTAGACAGCCATTGAGTGTGTGTACATAGAGTACATACCTACTAGTTGTGCTTGTACTATATTAATTCACAGTTTACATCTTCAGAATTACATTAGTTCATTACCATAAGGAAGATTCTTGAGTAAATGTATATGAAACACTAGCCTCTGAAGGGTGTTAACATGATGACCTCTAACTTCATCCCATTTCTCTTGTGACTACTATTATGTCTGTGATTTTTTTTTTTTTAACAAGTCGGCCGTCTCCCACTGAGGCAGGGTGACCCAAAAAGAAAGAAAATCCCCAAAAAGAAAATACTTTCATCATCATTCAACACTTTCACCTCACTCACACACACCTCACTCACACATAATCACTGTTTTTGCAGAGGTGCTCAGAATACAACAGTTTAGAAGTACACCTACCATCTGACTTATGACCTGCTCGACATACGACGACTCGACTTACAACCGTGTTTTTTATGCCAAATTTCTGGGAAATAAACAAGTGTTTGTGTTGTACACAGTGTTTATCCTAAACCTTACAGTGTAAAATACAGTACTAGCAGCATAAAAAGTAAAATAAAACATGAAATATCAAAATAAAACAATAAAATAAAGTCATTACAAAAATGTTATGTTGATATTCAGTGGTAAAGTTCGACTTACGTCCATTTTGACTTAAGACCGGTTTCTTGGAACCGAACTCGGTCGTAAGTCGGATGGTAGGTGTATATACGTATAAAGATACACAACACATCCCTCCAAACTGCCAATATCCCAAAACCCCTCCTTTAAAGTGCAGGCATTGTACTTCCCATTTCCAGGACTCAAGTCCGGCTATATAAAATAACCGGTTTTCCTGAATCCTTTCACTAAATATTACACTGCTCACACTCCAACAGCTCGTCAGGTCCCAAATACCATTCGTCTCCTTTCACTCCTATCTAACACGCTCACGCACTACTTGCTGGAAATCCAACCCCTCGCCCACACAGCCTCCTTTACCCCCTCCCTCCAATCCTTTCGAGGACAACCCCTACCCCGCCTTCCTTCCCCTACAGATTTATACACTCTCCATGTCATTCTACTTTGATCCATTCTCTCTAAATGACCAAACCACCTCAACAACCCCTCTTCAGCCCTCTGACTAATACTTTTATTAACTCCACACCCTCTCTTAATTTCCACGCACTGAATTTTCTGCATAATATTTACACCACACATTGCCCTTAGACAGGACATCTCCACCGCCTCCAACCGCCTCCTCGCTGCAGCATTTACAACTCAAGCTTCACACCCATATAAGAGTGTTGGTACCACTATACTTTCATACATTCCCTTCTTTGTGATTATCTTTACCTAAAGTACTAAAATGCTGTACTCTTTTCTTGTAAACTTTAATGTTAAGCAGTGATTTGTTATTTTAATTAGGAAAAAATAAAATAAGCACATAAGAGAAGTGAAGCTGTTTGATGTAATAATTCCTTAAGAACGATCTCTTAATTAACTTTAGTGGTTTGTCTAGAGGAAAATTGTGTGTGGGGGAATGTAGAGACTTGAGTCTTACCCTTTCTCACACTGTCAGCTGCAAACTTGCATTTAATTGTTAATTTTCATGTATAGCCTGTGTATGTGAAAAGCTTATGGTGAAAAACTATATAAAGATAAAATAAAAAGTAATAATATATATATTTGTCTTTTTTTTCAGATCTGAGTTGCAACATAAATCATATATCAGTAACGTGAAAGGAGAGTGTGAGGTAAGTGCCACCAGTTCCTCTCATATACCATCAAGAAATACTTCTGCAAGAATACAAACCAGCCAGTCAAGTCTCCCATCTGTTATGAATGATGAAATGCAAAGACCTCAAAGAACAGTCCAGAGTGCTGGAGCTGTTCCTGAAACTCAGGTTAGGCATAGTTCTTGTGGAGAAAGCACAGAAGGGTCATATTTGTTTGATGTTGACTATGATCTTGCTCCACATACACCTGGAAGTTTTCTTCCAGTTCATGACCGATCTCCAAGTCCAGGACACACTCCATCCTCAGAGTCGAGACCCTCTCAATCTTGCTCTTCTCACATATTAACTGCTGGTAAAAAGATTCATTCCTCGCAACAGAGAAAATTATCTGATGTTGAAAACCCTGACTGGTATCATCTTGATTGCCCTCCAACCCCGGGAAATCCACTAAAAGAAACTTGGTCTCGACAAGAGGAAGTCTCAAGTCCTAGTAGTGGAAATAAGGATGCAAAAAGTAACCCATTTCGACAGAGTGTGAACAAACCTTCTCCATCCTCTAGTGAGAATAGTCAAGCACTTGAAGGAAGTAGTGTTCCCAAAAAGAAATCTCATAAAAAAATTGCAAGATTATTTGGATCCTTTTCACCTCCATTACCAGTAATAGAAACTGCACCAGAGAAGATGAAGTCACTAAGTGTGGAGCCATCGAGTGACAGCTTTGACTTTGATGATGAAAATGATACTCCCGAGCGTCCTCAGACACCTGGTCGAGAAGTTCGAGATCATTCATTTACTGCTGCTTCTAAAGATGTTTCTCCTGTACAGAAGAAGCACATGCATGATTATGTTTTCGACTTTGACATGAATAGTCCTCCTGAGAGACCAGTGACTCCTGGGGGTAGTCAGGAAGTGCAGGACATTCTTTCCAGTGATCCTGGTAAAGAGTCTAGTCAGGTTAGTTATCAGCAGTTTGAATCTGTATTTGATCCAGACTTCATGCCTCTTACACCTTTAGAGCGTCCTAGAACACCTGGGGCTGGATCTTCCACTTCAACCCCTCAAACTTCAGATAAAGAATCACCTCGCTCCTCTAGGTTGGGCAAGGCGTCTCAATTGACAGGTTTGCCAGGTGATTCTTCATTGTTACCAAGATGTCTCCACTCAAACGAGCAACAAGAATCCAAGTCAGGTGAAGAGAGACAAGCATCAAAACATTCTGTGTCACTTCTGGAAGATCAGGAGTCTGTTAAAGATATATCAAGGAACAAATTTTCTTCTCAGCAAAAAGCAGCTAGAGAGAAGAGTGGTATGAGTGATAGAGAGTCCTTTAACAAAGGTAAGACAAGTTTATTATCTAGCGAAACAAGCCAAAGACAAAATGAGAAGAACATAAAAGATGTTAAAAGCACATCCACTGCATCCGTGGCAACTTTGAACTCGCGAAGTCATTTGAGAGAGCCTAGATCAAGGCATTCTGATCATAAAAGTCATGCCAAGGATACTGTGGAATGTGACAGTCAATCAGGGTCTCATTTTACATCAAAATATCTGGAAAGAAAATCACAGTCTGATAGAAAATTTGAGCAGTCTGCCCATAGAGAATTGTCTTGCATAAGCAGTGATGCTGTGGAACGTGACATTCAAGCTAGATCTCATTTTGGGGGTAAAAATCAAGAACGAAGGACACAGCATGATAGGAAAGTTGAGCATCCAGTCCGTAGAGATGTATCACACACAGATAGAATGCCACAGAAGTTAGATCACACCTCTGACCAGAAGAAAACCACTGGACCAAAGGACTGTAATAAAATGACCAGTCAATCTTCAGCTTTTGGAGAATGTGAAACTGACAGAAGTATTGACACGAAAGGAAGTGGTAGAGTTTGGCACAGTGTAAGACCTATATATCCACCCCAGCATTCTGATAGAGACCATAGAGAGGATAGTGGAAAAAAGTCAGCTCTCAGGCCATCCACTGGACAATCAGTGATGTATACATGTGACACTGGACCAAAATCGAGCAAACCACATCATGTCTCAAGACTTATGGAAAGCCAGAGACCAGAAGGAAGTCGACCATCATCTCAGCCTTCTAGAATAAATAGCTTTAGTACGAAGATAGATAATATTAGGCCATTATCACAACCTGGTAGCCGCCATCAGTCTCCTAACAGAAACAGATTTCAAGGGGAAAACTGGTCTCAGTCACTACCAAGAAATCGATCCCATTATTATCCAGAGATTAAAGGGAATCAACAGAGGAGTCATCAGCATGCCAGAAACATGAATCCAACATCCATAGGATGTTCTGTTTCTTCACCGAAAAACAGGGCACACTTTTCACCAAAAAACCAAGCACAGTTCTCCACATCAGAGAACCGTTCACAGGCATCACCACGTTATCAACCACAGTCTTCATCGGAGAACCGTTCACATGTATCACCACGTTATCAACCACAGTCTACATCAGAGAATCGATCACAGGCTTCAACACGTTATCAACCACAATCTTCATCAGAGAACCGATCGCATGCTTCACCACGTTGTCAACCACAGTCTTCATCGGAGAATCGATCACATGTATCACCACGTTATCAACCACAGTCTTCATCAGAGAACCGATCACAGGCTTCAATACGGCATCAACCACAATCTTCATCAGAGAACCGATTGCAATCATCACCACGTTATCAACCACAATCGACATCTGAAAATCAGTCTCAACATTCGCAGGAAAATCAACCTCAAATTTCACCAGGGAGTAGTTCAAATTCTACATCTCGAGAAGATAGATTAAGATTATTTCATGGAAATGGACCACACCCAAGTGTGAAATCTATGCAGTCTTCAACAGTGAAATATTCTGCAAATGATCAAAGAGCTTATAAGACTGAGAGCCACTCATTTTCATCAAGAAATAGACCTCATTTTCAGCACTCTAGTCATACTAATTTTCACTCACAAAACTGGTCTTATCCACCAGAGAATCAATCAAGATCATCTGGAGGTCAACATTGGCTTCAGCAAGGAAAGTTCTCAGGCTCTTATGGAAACCGGCAGCAGGCTGAACAACCAAAGTTTTCGCATGATCAAACTTTAAGACAAAAAACTTTGAAGTCTATCCCTACTCTGGAATCAAGCTTTTGTAGAGAGAAAAGCAGTAATGTGATTAAATCACCTGATGTCAAAGACTCTCTGAGTCAGTCAAATTATCAAAGAACAGAAGATTCTACAAGTGAAAAAGTAAAGCTGGATTCAAAGAAACAGCCAGAGAATTATGAAGATGACTTTGTTTTTCCTCTTATAGATACATCATTACCACTGATGAGTCCTATGCCTTGCACACCTGCAGCTCATCGTGATGATTCATGCCCTGTCTCAGACACTAGTGGTGGTTCTCTGCCCACTTTAGACACAATACAGCCTCCAATGAGTCCCATGGCTCCAACCCCCTGTCATCAGTCACAAGAGGATGTTACACCTCGCTTACAGCCTCTCAGTCCAGTTGAACCATCTGTGAGTCTGTCAGGATCCCTAACTCCATCCAACTCATCTTTCATATTGCCTTCAGCACCAGGCCCTATGATGAGTCCAATCCCTCCCACTCCAGTAAGAGTAACATCTCCATGTCATATCAGTCCTATGCCGGTGCTTCCTTCTTTAATGGGATCCATGGTCAGTCCACTTCCTAATACTCCATTACATAGTGTGGGAGAGAACTTCTCAATGACAGGAACATTACTGAGTCCTATGCCTGCTACACCTCTTGGAATGCCAGATGCTGAGGATCATCCGCCATCAGGCTCACATGAAAGCCACTTTGGCAGTCTTCGGGAAGCTGCAGAACACTTCTCTGTTGATCCTGTTATGAGTCCAATACCACAAACACCAGCCCATTTAACTCAGATGCCACCAGCACAGGTCCCAACCACTTCAGGATATAATTTAAGACCAAGTTCTCCAAAATTAGCCAAAAGTCCAGTCCCTCCAGTGCCTGAATATTCAGAGGATGATGATTTTCCTCAGCATCCTGGTTGGAGTCCAATGCCTGTGTATCCATCGGTGGGACCCCTCGTTAGTCCAATGCCACAAACTCCTAATCATTTTGGGACTGAAAATGATGATCATAATTCATTGAGTCCTCTCCCTACTTTGCCTTCAGCTCCTGGGCCTTTAATGAGTCCATTACCCCAAACACCATCCTACATATCTCAGTCTTATGCTCATCAGTCTCCTGTTTATATGCCATTCACTCCTAATGTTCATACCCCACAGACACCAACACACACTCCTCAAACACCTGTGCAAACTTCTCAGACTCCGGCACATACATCTCAAACAGTGAATGTTAGTCATTCACAAACTCCTCTAACACCGCCATTGGCTTCTTTGACACCTCTACCAGCACCTTTGACACCTATACAGACTCCTTTGCAAAATCCTTTCACTCCTTTGCAACCTCCTCTAACACCTCTACAAACATCCTGTACTCCTCGGCAGGACATGTTGGCATCTTATCAAACTCCAAGAGCTTCTGTAAAAGATAGAGAGAGACCAAATACTCCTGTAAATTCTACTTCAGCAGCAAGTTCCCTTGATGAGTTAGGTTATGGTGGAGGGGATTATAGTCCCATGCCTGTTCTACCATCAGTGCCAGGACCAGTAATGAGCCCAATGCCACAAACTCCTGTACATCGACCTCAAAGCCCTTGCCCAAGTTTTCCTCCACAGGCGGTTTCTTGTGGTTCTGAAGATATAACCCCTACAGTTACATCTGATATATCAGATATTACAATTTCACCTGAAACAAAAACTTCCATAGGTGCACCTCAGTCCTTTGATGACACAAATTCTATTTTTAGTCTGACAACTCCACCACTTGATTCAAGTAAGAAAACACCTGTCTCAGCTGTTGTTGATAACTCAGATACTTTAATAGCTAATATTTCTGGTGAATCTGTACCCATTGCTTCTAGCAGTGTTGTTCCTGTTTCGTCCCCATCCATATTTTGTCCTGGGAGTAATAATTCTGACATGAAATCATTTGGTTCACCAGAAACTAATCTGCAGAGTCACCGTCTTCCATCAGAAACTCAGCAGAATATATTAAGCCCACTGTCACATTCACATATAACTGGTGAGATGGAACTCCAGCCCAGTCCTGCTCAACATTTGCAAGTGTCTGTAGACAGTGGTTCCCATCCAGTCTCTGGGACTCCATTCCAAGTCACTGCAGATGTTGGATCTCATTTGAGCCCAGTCCCTCACATCCAGGCAAGCACAGGAGCTGGCTCTCAATCCAATTCTGTTCATCCCTCTTCTTATCATAGTCCAGTTCCTCTTTCACACATGTCTGCAGGCTCTGATTTTCATCCCAGCCCAGGACATCATCCACATGTGACTGCTGCCACTGTTTCCCTTCCTAGTCCAGTGCCTCAGTCTCACATGCCTGCTGGCAGTGGTTCCCATCTCAGCCCAAGGCCTCAGTCCCAAATGTCTTTTACCACAATTTCTCATCCCAGCCCAGGTCATCAGTCCCAAATGTCTTTTGGTACTGTTTCTCATCCCAGCCCAGTACCTCAGTCCCAGATGGCTGCTGGCAGTGTCTCTCATCCCAGCCCAAGGCCTCATTCCCAGATGTCATTTGCTGCTGTTTCTCACCCCAGCCCAGGTTATCAGTCCCAGATATCTTTAGCCACTGCTTCTCTCCCTAGCCCAGGGCTTCAGTCCCAAGCAGTTGATGTCTCTTTTGCTCATACTAGTCCAAGGCCTCATTCTCAAATGTCCATAGGTGCTGGTTCTCTTCCCAGCCCAAGACCTCATTCCCAAATGTCCATAGGTGCTGGTTCTCATCCCAGCCCAAGACCTCATTCCCAAATGTCCATAGGTGCTGGTTCTCATCCCAGCCCAAGGCCTCATTCCCAAATGTCCATAGGTGCTGGTTCCCATCCCAGCTCTGATTTGCCTTCACCAGTACTTGCAGTTACTGTTTCTCATCCTAGCCCAGTGTCTCATTCAGAAATGTCTTCAGGTATTGGCTCTCATTTAAGTCCAGTACTACATTCACAAATTCCTGTGAGTGTTGGTGCTCACTCTAGTCTAGTTACACAGTCTCAGATTATTGTAACAACACATACAGCTGTCACAACACCAGCTGTAACCATGACTGTTTCTGTTAATGTGCCATCATCACAAGTCATTACAACTAATACTTTGGATGGGAATAATCACCAAATAAAACTTGGTGATAACTTTTCTCAGGCTCTACACACATCTACTGTTGTTACGAATTCAGGGAATATTTCCCCCAAATCTACTCATTCATTGTGGCCAGACTTGGCTTCTGTCTCACAGTCTATTGAGAACACTCTTGGTAATTCACATTTATCTACCATAGAAACCAGTTGTTCCGTGCCATCCGAAATTCCTTGCATTTCCTCGGATATTGGTATAGCATTCTGTACAAGTGGAGAAACACCATCATTAGTAACATTGCTAACAACATGTGCATCAAATACTCCCACCCATGTAACTCAGTCTCAGAGTATTTTGAAAGCAACTCTATTATCTGGGCTTAATCGTAGAGAGACGTCTATAAAATCGGTGCCATCTTGTTTTAAATTACAGGATTCTTTATACTCAAGTGATATCCCTCAACTTCAATCTAATATGAATCAGATTACAGCCTCCAGTTTGCTTCAGCCACAGGCTGTTTCTGTTAGTGATACTCAGACACTGGGGCAGGGTATTCCCAGTGCTGAATCAGAAACTGCGCCTGTATTATTCTCAGGTGTTCTTCCTCACCTGCCAACAGGTTCAATACTAGATGGTGTACAGGCTAATCTTGCTCTTCCCCAAGGTCCATATTCATTAGATGATGGTCAAGAAGTAACGGGTTTGCCTCAAGTGATATTGATGCCACAGTTACAAGGTTCTGTTCAAATAAGTATTCCACATGGTGTTCCTACAACTATTGCAGGTCATCCTCTTCAGTTACCTCTTATGATAGGAACTGTTGTTTCTCAGGTAGATACTCAGACCAGTCAACACATGACCTCTGTATCATCCACAAATCTTGATGGAATAAACTGTAGTGTTACAAAATTACTTCCTACTGAATCTGTCACAGTACCTGAAATTAATATTCCATTCACTCAGAACTCAGGAGAAGTCATTGAAGCTAGTGTTGGCTCAAATATTCCAAATCTTCAGTATGCTGTGCCTATCAGTTCTGTCGGAAGCAGCATTAATAACAGTGTGAGTGAAGTAGAGCCTACTTCAGCATGTGATCTCTATCAAGTAACACCAAGTGTTAACCACTCAGTATCTGGTACCAGTGAAGTCGAAGGTACTCTCGATATGGTGCAACAGGCTTTTCAGTCATCTCTTCTTGATACCGAAGATGATTTAGAAAAAGTTGAAAAACCCGCTAATAAAATACTGGCTGAAATAGTAGACGAATTGAGTAACCAGGACTTTTGCATACCTTCAGAGGCTATATGTCTGCAAACTACAGCTGTAGATATGGAAAACAATGAGGATGTTGATTCTGAGCAAAATAACATGGCAGTCACTATGAATTGTGAAATGAGTCCTCCATCTGGGAATCCTACATTAGTGGAAGTTGTCAGCTTTGACATCAGAGGCATAAATCCAGCTGCACAAAATTGTGATATCCCTGCAGGGGATAATGAGAAAGAGAGTACAAGCCCAAATCAACCTTCACAACTTAAACCATTGTTGAAAGCAATTGAAGCTATGCTAGAACAGCAGATGCAGGAAGATGCACAGATAGAACAGGACAATGAAAAGAAAGATAAAGAGAAAAAAGATGAGGGTACAGATTCTGAGGAGATTAAAAAATGTACATCCCAACAGGAACTGACAAGAGGAACTGAAACTAAATCTGAAACACTGCAAGCCTCATCAGCAGAAGATGCTACATGTTCACAGCATGCTGCAATTTCTGAGAAGACATCTGTAGCATATTCATCACCTGTTTTGCAGGGTTTATTAAATGGGAAAAGTGCACTAGATCATATATCAAGATCATGGGAAAATCCTAGTTACCCATCGGGAAATGTTTTTCTTACCTGCAGTTCCAGTAGTGTAACATCACAGGCGAAAGAAACTTCAGTAGGTGTGTCTGGCATGTCACTTCCTTCTGTAGGTGTTTCATTACATGCAGGTGCTGTTCCTACCAGTGAATCACAAACCTTTAACATTAGAAAAGAATCTCCACAAGGAGTAGTGATTAATTCATCTATAGAAGCAGCTGCTGCATCTACAGTGAATACTGCCACACCTACTTCATCATTTGCAACAGTAGTTTGTGCATCTTCACATGTGAATATTTTGCCATTGTGCTCTTCAGGGTCTCTAAACCTTATTTCCTCACATCAGAGTTCACAGGTGTATCCAGTGGATGTTCCTACACAAGTGCCTCCGAGAGTAACTCAACCACTAGTATCATCACCTTTAGTTATTACCCCTTTGATTGAAGTGGGTACTACTAATTCAGCAGCTATATGTAGTGCAATGACTTCTCTTTCATCAGCAAATGCTACATCACAAGACCTTTCTTCACATGTTGAAACACATTCAGAGTCTTTGGCAACAGATGCTGAACATCAGGCAGTGACAAAAATGACTGAAACTTCAGTGTCTTTGGATCACTCTGTGGATTCTGTATCACCTAGAGCTAGTGAAACACCATCCTCTGAAAGTAGTCAAAGTGTTGTATCGACTTCAGGTTCTGCTATGCCTCTTCCATTTATAGGTTCTTACACAACTTCATCAACAGCACCAATTTCATCAGAGTACACAAGGTCTTTGACACTTGCATCATCCCAAAGTTCTGTTACACAGGCATCTCATACAAATTGTGTAACTGTGGCAGCTCACACAAGATCTATAACTTCAAAAGCTGTTATGGAGTCTGCTTATCCTATATCTTCAGTGGAAACACTGATTCCGTTGTCATCACAAGAATCTGAGTTGCCAATATCACCTCTAAGAAATGTTTCCTCTGACTCGTTTTCACAAAGAAACGTAGATTATAGGGGACCACAAACAGTGGCTTCTTTAGTTTCAAGTGAAGCGTGTGTCAGTGTTAGTTCACCACTTATAACAAGGAATGTTGCATCACCAGCCACATTGATGACATCATCATCATCTACTCTCATTCCACCAGTCGCTTCTCCATTAACCACAACAGTTACAACCAGCAGCATATCTCAAGTTTCTTCTGGGCCCACAATGTCTAGTGGGTTACTAGCTAGAGAACACGAATCAATATCTACAGCTTTAAGCATCTCATCAAAGACTCCTTTAATTCCACCATGTGTTGTGGCCAGTAATTCCCTTGAAGGCTTCATGCAACATTGTAAATCTCTTCCTTTATCTGTTAATTCTCGATTAGTCCCTAGTTTCCAGGAACATCAATTACACCCTGTGGAAATAAATAAAGAACATTTAATAAGTGAAAAAGGGCGGCAGCACTTGTCTGTAGGTGCACTACTGCAGATGCCACAAGGTACTCAAGCACAGTTATTTACTCCACAAGAATTAGAAAAAATTGTGCCACAACATGCATCACATAAGAGACCACACTTCAAAAAGCAACTGATTTCTTCAACAATGAGTGTCATGCATTGTTCTGAAGATTATGAGTTAGAAAACAGTTCAAAGCTATCAAATAATGGTTCAAAGTCTGATCAGGGGGTAATGCTAAAGGTTTCTCTTGGAAGTGCTAGTCCCCAGCCAAACAGGTTTGAAGTGTATTCATCCACTTCAGGTTCTGGAAATTGTTCTTCAGTGTTAATACCACGTCCTGGGGCTTTTGAACATTCTGGTTTGTCAGCAATGAGAGCAACCTTACCAGTGCCTCCTACTGTTCCTGTTGCACAAGCTAAGCAAGTCCACCTTGGTTCACAACCTGATCTAGCTGGACCTAGCCCAGTATCAGATCATGATACACAGTCTGTTGATTCTCTAGGATCTATCGGAGTTGAATTACAGCATCCTTTGTCTAGCCGAATGTCATCTAGTAGTGATTTAGAGGCTCCACTGCCTCCAACTCCATTTGGTCACATTCGAAGAATTAGAGAATCTCCATCATTGTCAGGTAGTTCAAAGAGCAGAACCGATAGGTCAGTAGAAAATACCCCAACTAACTCTTTCAAGATACCTACATCTTCACCCTATTTGGATCCACAAAGCCAGCAGACATCTCCTCTGTCTTTAGTAATCCAGAAAGCAGGTACAAGCAGTAGCAACAACTTGTCTGCTGTTCTTCATGATAGTCTCATGAAACGATCAAGTGTTCAGGTTCATTCTGATGAACAGTCATATCATGATTCTAAATCCCAGCATATACCTCAACGGTACCAACTTCCTCTTCCTGTGCCAGTTCAGGAAATATCTGTACGGGATGAACGTGTTTGGCCTTTCCGTAAAAGATCAATTACAATAACATCTGAGGATTCAGTTGATTCAGAAGTGCAATATCAAGGAAGCTCTACTCCTTCATCTCAAGTTGTTTCTTGTCTTAGAGGAACTCCTAGTTCTTTGGTTACTAAAGCAGGCATTACCAGCTCCCCTCCTGGGGATAGAGGAATACAGACAATGGCTCCTCCTAGTGTTCCAGGTGTCGCTCCTCTGGCACCTCACCTCATCAACTACCCACTTTTCCCTGCTATAAAGCACATACCAGAAATGGGCAGAGCATGTGACCATCAATCATATAATGAGCCTCATTACTTAAGAGAAACTATATTACCATCTGCAAAATCAGGACCTCCACCACTATTAACCACTACAGAAGTTGTCCAGCATTCCGGGACGTATGGAGTACAGTCTACGGCTAGATCTCATTTAAACATGAAAGAAGATTCCTCAACCCATAATGTTACTAAGGATGATGAAGCTCATAAATATTGGTACTTAAACAGACGAGATCCATCAGAGATAGCAAGACGGTGGCCAGGCTTGCCAAATCAGTTAGTTACATCTGTTAGACCACGTCTCAATCATTACTTTCATTCACATGTGAATCAATTTTTGGAAAGAGGACGGTTTTCTCAACCACTAATGGAACGTCTGCCGATACATCGACCAAGCTATGCATCCACCCAGTTCTATCAGCAGGTTCACAATGTATCAGAAGAGCATAGGGTATTAAGTGATAAAAGTATTGTTAAGATAGATTTGGAAAATGAGCAGAAGCAATGCCAAGAGAATTCTCCAGACGATAGTCCCATCAATGTTGTAGATGATGCGCCAGATCCTATATTTCCATTACCAGAGATTAACATTCCTCCTCTTTCAGAATCAGTCCCTTCAGGCTCTAGTACCAGTAGTATTCCCATTGTATCAGAAAATTCTAATTTGGAGGGATTAGGAAAATCATTGCAACACCATGTTTCATCTCAGAAACATTTGACTGAAGTTAAATCGAAAACACCAGTATCCATCAAGTCTGCACTTCCGCAGTCTAGTCCAAATGTTACTGACACTTTGCCTCAGAATGCTACATGTGGGATAATACACACTTCTGAAGCACATATTTTGAGTGAGTGTAGTGTAGCAGCCAGTACCAGTGGAGGCCCTACTTTAACTATTAGTAATACAGGTACAGATGGAAGCTGTAGCTCATTCAGTAGGAATATTTGTACTGTAGACGAGACTGGAGTCAATACTACTATTAACAGTACAGTAAATACTACTGATAATGCAGAAAATGGAAGCAATAGTTGTAATGCAGAAGAAATTGCATCTCAGAATGATGAACTGGACTTCACCACAGGTACTGTACAACAATTCACTGATGACCAGAACGATGGAGCTCGTCCTGAACAAGCTGGGAAACTTGGCAAATTTCTCATGAGAGTTAACCGAGGGTCTGTTGATCATCCACGTGCAGAAGTAAGCACACCTCTCAGTGTAATTGCAGTAGATGATAACTCAAGTGTTATAGAAGATGCTCCAAGTTGTGTAAGGCAAGAATCTGAAATAATTGTTAGACATCCTTCTCATGGTTTAAAGGAACCAAACTTTGATGTAAGCCTTTCAGAAACTCAGCTTAGCGATCTACGGAACATCCATCAGAGCCAAGATGTTGAGCGTCAGTTTAGTCGTGGATTCAAGAAAACTATCTCATCAAAATTTGAAGATGATAATGCTACTAGTGAAAATGAAATGGTACCTCTGAAGGAAGACTGCAGTGTAAGGGATGCTCAAAATAAAAAAGATGAAAGCTTACCTGTAGATAAAAGTGTTCCATCTGACCATCTTGGTGAGACATTGTCAATCCTTAAGGTTATGGCTGGCAGTTCAAAAGATCAAAGTCTGTTAGATGTACTTGAAGATAAAGCCCAAAAAGAAAGTCACGATGATAAAATAGTTAAAGACAGTGATTCCGCAGAAGACAAACAATTTACTGATGGAATTAGTGTAAGCAAAATTAATGAAGAGTCTTCATTATCTTTTGTTTCCTTGAAAGGGCACCAAATTCAAGCACATGATGACAGTGATGCTGATTCAATAGAGAATATACGTAGCTCAAGAATTATCGGACGGAGAAGCAGTTCATCCAGTCAGACAAGTGACACAACACAGTTTTCTGGTAATTCTTCACCCCCATTTTTTCCTCCACGATCTCCAGGTTTAGACTCTTCTGAGGAAGAAGAAATCCCGCAATCCTTCATTGAACCTGATTTGGAGAGAAAAGACACTCTATCTCTCCCAGTTGCAGAAAATTCAAGAGATAGTTTAGTTACCTCTGAGAGGGAGAATGTTAGGTTGGATAGTGTAAGATGTGAAAATGAAAAATTGCCTGAGATGGAAACTTGTGTTTCTGTTCAACATGTTTTACCAAGTTCTCCACCTCAGGGAGATGATGTATTCAAATCTTCATTGGAAAACCACTGCCCTACATCTAGGCAAGATCCTTCCTCTGAAGAGGAAACGTGTGTACAAAGAGTTGTATCACCATCATGTAGGTTAATGCAAGGACCAGTCTTATCTCCACCATCGGACATTATTTCTGAAACTTGTGTAACTTCTCAAAGTAATCAGCCACTTACACTAGATCCTGACATTCAACATGTGGCTGACACCCACCAAGATGTATTCGCAAAAAATATAGATTCGTGTGCTGTAAAACACATAGATTCTGGAGAAGGTAAAAGTGTGGTGGATCACAATGTTGAGGAAACACCACATGTTGTTTTAAAGCTGCCAACAAAAGGAGCACTCAAAGCTTTTAATGTAGACTTTCTTCCAAAGATGGCACAAGAAAAATGTCAGTTGCTAGAACATCACACACCTGACAGCAGTTCTGAAGTTAGCTCCACCACACCTGACAATCCAGTTTTTCCAGTACCAATTAACAAGATACGTGGAAAACCACAAAAGAAACCCAAAGGCCCAAAGCGTAAAAAAGCAGCATTACCAGTCTCTAAGAAAAGTTTAGAGAAGTCACCTAGAAAGGGCAAGTCAAAATGTTTTTCTTATGAAGATGCTTCTGTTGACAATTCTTCGAAAACTAATAGTCTTTCTAAGGAAAATGAACATGTAAAACTCATTCTTCCAGTTTCTTCAGCAATGTCTGAGCAACAGAACATTCGAAGAGGTAGGAGACGAGCCTGTGCCAATGTTTCTTATGCAGAGTTCTTTGAGTCAGATGCACCAACTCCAACAGTTAAAGCTTTACCTGTAGTCACTCCCAGTTCTCATGCAAGAATATCTGTGGCACATGATACAGCAAAATTACAATCACTGGAGGCACTTGAAGATGTTTCAGTTCAATCTCTCACCAAGAGACACAGAGGACGTCCCAGGAAAAAACCTTCGAGTGTTGCAACCACTGTCTCTCCTGTTGCCCTGACAATTTCAGAAAATGATAGTGCTGATTCTGTGGCAAGTAAAGAAATATTATCAAATACTATAATACCATCTGAAGATAATTCTGGTGAAGGATCATTTACAAATAGCAAGAAAGTTGAAGAGGAATCCAAATTTGCTACAGAGGGGAAATCAGCTTCACAGTTAAAGCAGTCTTCCAAGAGGCCAAGAGGAAGACCCCCAAAGAATTTAGTTAAGGAACATTTCTTAATTTCAGCAGGTGAAAAGCAGCCTAGTAATACAGTATCTGACTGTGGGCACATTAGATCAGAATCACAGCTTCCTGTTAAATTTGCAACCCCAAAAGTGGTTTCACCACAGCTTACTGTAAAGGTTAATAAAGACTCAAAATTGAAGATAACTATTAGCCGCACAATGGTGGATAAGAGAGCTCCAGATTGTTCAGTTAGGGCACCACCTAGGAAGAAAAGAAAAAACCTTAATTCTTCTTGTATTGTGGATATACACAAACAAGCAAAAGAGAGTAGTACAAGTGCTCAGAACTCTGTTATAAAAGAAAATGAAAACCTGGAGAAATCCAACTTTTATTCAATTTCAAGGGAATCCCCAGAAACTGTGCCTTTACATTGTGATCCTCATGATCCTTTAGGCATTGACCTAGTCGAAGAATCAAATATGACATATTCAAAAGCCAAGAAAAACATTTATGAATTTGATGATGATGTAAGTGATGAAGATGTACCAGTTGCTCAGAGATTGAAGTCTCAACATAAGAAGATGAGCACTCCGAACTTCAAAAGAGCTAGAAAGATTGTTCAGAATGCTATTAGAACACCGGTTCGAGACCCAAATTTCAGTTATTTGAGAACACCTAGTCGTACTCCTTGTCATACCCCAGGATACTCTACACCTTCATATACTCCTATGAATTCTCCTATGTATACACCTGTTCATAGAATCAATTATACTGGTCCAGGATCAACACCACGTCACATTTCCCAAGGTTGTTTTAAACTACTACTACGCAGGAAGCATCGCCCTGAAACCTCTGTTATTCTCAAACTCAAGAAACCATGGAACGACCAGATTTCTTCAGAAACTCACCAGCAAGATGAATTTGCTGATACATCAAGTGTTCTTTGTAGAACCAATGAAGAAAATAACAATAGTAAAGGTGAGAAGCATATTGATCAAAATGAGGCAACACTCTCTTCTCGAGAAAGTACGTCATCCTTAGTTAACATTCATGCACATGAACATGGAGAAAGTTCACAGTCACATTCAGTAATAAATTCCCCAATACAAGCAATGCCCCATGAAGGATCACAAAAAGGTGCCTCAGGTGATTCGGGAGAGAGCTCCAAGTCATCAGTGGATGCTGGTCTAGTTTCTTCTGGAAGGAAGTCCACATTAGGCTCAGATGAATCTATGATCACTGGTGTTGAAAACTCTTCAAAGAAATTAATAACTAGCACAGAAAAGTGTTCACTCACAAATGAAGGTACTACTCAAAGTAAGCCAGCTATTCCAACTTTAAAAATAAAGTTAAATCTGCTTTCTGGATTTTCTTCCACTTTTAAAGAAGCCGGTGATAAACGCAAAACACAGCATTGCACGAAAGTGAAGAGAACGGGTGATGGCTTTGCGATTCCTCAAGAACCCAGTCATGTTATGATGAGGCTTAAGCGACATAATTCCCATTGGGAGCAAGATGAAAGGACTTTTGATAGAGAGACCACTCTTGACATGTCTCGATCTGAAACTAATAGACATCAGGAAAATGTGGAAGCGTCTACTAATGATGAAGCTGCTACTACTGGTGGAGAACTGACAGAATCAGAGGTCACAGATGGTGAGAACCCAGGGCTGAATGATCAGGTAAATGATAAGGTGCCAGTAGTGCATAAAATCAAAATATGCACTCCAGTACTACCAATGGTCAAGGAAAGTGTGTGTAATTTAGAGAATATTCAAATAGTTACCAGGAAAACAAACGACAGTGAGGTACCAAACTCTTCCAAAGCTACAGTAAAGAAAAGTGTTAGCAAGAAGAAAGAAAACGATAAGGTTTCTGCAGTGGCACAGTCATATTCTGCAAACATAGACAAATCCCCACATTCATCTCATTCTGAACCTCATTCTGCATTATTAAACCAAGCTACACAGCAGTCTTCACCAGTACAGCCTGTTATATCACAACCTTGTGCTTCTCTACCAAATGTATCAATCCTTGTTACGCCACCGCCTGATACTCCACAATCACATACACCACTATCAGAACTCTCTCTGCCTGATACACCTGCAGATGTATCTAAGCCTGAAAAATCATTAACAAACACTCCTCAACATGTTATAACATCCTCAGATAAATCACCACCGGACTCATTGCAGTCTGACACTTGTTCTGTCACACCACAACTATCTTTTCCACATAACTCCTCACCAGAGCCTTCCGATTCATCTACTCTTATACCACAGCCTGTCTCACCACAACACACTCCATCACAGTCATTGATAGTGAAGTTTGCTCTAACCCATCCAGCTTCTGCTTTCACTCCACCTTCTGCTTATTTATCCAGGGTAGATTCTGTTGAACGTGAGCTAGCAGCAATTTTTGGCTCCCCAACCAAAGGATCAGAGAGAGTTGAATCATCAGATACGAGAACAATGAATGATGCAGACTTAGAAGCTCTGTTAATGGGAGACAAAGGGGGAAGTAGTATAAGAAGTATTACACCAACTGTACCTCAGGAGAATATTAAGGTAGCTGATGGATGCCAGGCAAAAACTCCACCAGTGAGTTTTGATAAATCTCAACCAAAATCTCACTCAAGTGATGATTTCAGTCAAATAATTTCATGTAATCCATCTTCACCAGACACAAATAAATTGATACCACCACAGGAATTAAGTGCACATAATTTTCTTGTACAAGACATCAAGTTAAAAACCCCTCCAAAAGTAATGTTAGAAAAACTTACACCTGATGTTATATGTACTCTGAAAAGAACAATTAGTTCATCTTCGGAAACAATTACCCAGGCCCCGAAGAAACTATCCAGACGACCCCAACAGACTGCTGCATCACAAGCAATAATTACTGCTGGAAGATACACTGATGAAGATGGTGAGACATCACCCTCATTCCAGTGTTCAAAGTTTGTAAAAAAGAGAATATTGTCAAGTCCACCTGAGGGTAAAGAATGTAAGAAACCTCGTAGAAGTGAAAGAAATATGAAACCAGATGAAGTGAGTACAAAAGTTCAGGTTGTGGATGAGAGATTCATGGATAAGGAAAGTTTTGAAAAATCAGAAGTAAACAATGAAAATGACTTTGATAACTGCCAAACTGCTCTTGCTTCTGAAATTTCTTGTGAGGGCAGTAGCACAAATAGTGGGGAGGACTCAGCTTCCAAGGTAGAAAGTGAGAATTTAGAATGTAA